ATTTCTGCTGGATCTGTTGTAATTTCACCCTTTTCATTCTTAATTGCATGGATTTGGGCCTTTTTCTGATAAGGTTGGCTAAGGGTTTGTCAATTTTGTTTATGCTTTCGAAGAACCAACTCTTGGCTTCATTAAGTTTTTTTTATCATTTTCTTAGTCTCCACTGAATTGATTTCTGCTCTGATCTTTATAATTTCCTCCTTTGTATGAGCTTTGAGTTTGTCCTGCTCTTCTTTTTCTAGAAGCTTAAGGTTCAGCATCAGGTTGTTTAATTGGGCTCACTCTGTTTTCCTAATATGTGTATTCACTGTTATGAATTTCCTTCATAAGACTGCTTTCATTGTGTCCCATGGATTCTTATATGTTGTATTGTCATTGTCATTTAATTGAAGGAACTGTCTGATTTCTTCTTTAATTTCCTCTGTGACTCATTAGTTATTCAAAAGTGTGTTGTTCAATTTCCATGTGTTTATGTAATTTTTGCAGTTTCTTTTGCTATTGATCTCCAATTTCATCACACTATGGTCTGATAATATACAGCAGATAACTTCAGTTCCTTTGCAATTACTTAAACACATTCTATGAGTGAGTGTGTGGTGTATTTTGCGGAATGACCTGTGTGCAGCTGAGAAGAATGTGTATTCTGATTTTTGGGGGTGGAACACTGTGTAAACATCTGTTAAGTTCATTTGTTCAAGAGTTCAATTGAGTTCTAGTATTTCATTACTTATTTTTTGTCTAGTTGGTCTATCTGTGACTGTGGGGTATTGAGGTCCCCCACTACTGTTGTATTAGTGCATATATGAGTTTTCATATCTGTTAGTATTTGTTTTATATAGTTGGGCGCACTAGTGTTTGGTGCATAGATATGTATGATTGTCATCTCTTCCTGTTGGATTGTTCCCTTTACAAGAATGTAATGGCCTTCTTTGTCTCTCTTAATCAGTGTGGGTTTGAAATCCACTTGATCTGCAGAGCATAGCTACTCTTGCTTTTTTGGGGGTTCCTGTCTCATGGAGTATAGTTTTCCACCCTTTAACTTTCAGTCTATGAGTTTCATTTTGAATTCAGTGTGTTTCTTGTATACAGCATATTGTTGGATCTTGCTTCTTGACCCATTCTGCCAGTCTATTCCTTTTGATTGGTGAATTGAGACCATTAACATTGATGATTATAATTCATACATATTGACTTATCATT